GAAACTCTTATTCATGAAACAAACTGATTTATTAATAGTTAAACAATTTATAATATCACTACATCACTAATTTCTACCAGAGTCGTGGTTCGCGCCGACGACATATTCCACGTCCCGTAGTTAAAATGGTGACCGATAGAGGGCGGTGCTGGTTGTTCAAGCCGACTCCAACAGATGCCGCCCGCAACAGCGCGATGGTACTTACTTCCGCCAACAGATGGCTCTGATGACGACACAATATATGCGCTACATATGTCGCGTTGACAACGTGATCTTACACCGGTTCCAGGGCAAATTTCATGCAATTCTGACAGAAAGCCGTTCACAAAAGGAGTTACTGTAATCGACTAAATATTCAATCGTTTCAAATCGTCATATTTAGAGTCAATAAAGATGGATCTATAAGAATAAGTCGTTCGAAAGATAGAACTGTATCTATCTGGTTAACTCCCAAGTTGGGTAATTATAACACATGAGTTTAGTTATTGGTTGCTCGTAAATTCATTTTTTAAGTTATGGTTAACTAACTGTTGGTGCGGCAACGCTGCCTCTGCGCCTAAACTATCATGCTCTACGCGTTTTGTCACGCTCTGTGTCTGTGTTTCGGCTCATCCGTGAGAAGTCACGTCATACAGTCAAGCCAAAAGGCACCACATTTTGCTAACAATATTTGATAAACTTAACATTGAAATCTGCATCCTTAGAGTCAACTTCGGGACAACAGTACAATTACACTTAACCTATGATTGAAAAATCGAGCCTTAGTTTAAAACCATCGCACGTCATCTGTCACTAGAGTGCTCCAGCACAGAATGCACTTGAGGTCAGTGTAAAAAAATGATCTGTATTATATGCGCCAGCTCTTGTGAGGAGCTGTAAGAGATTTTCAAAGGTACTAAATAATGTGTTTTAGTTGCTTATCAGAACTGTATTTTGTGAGATGAAAAAAACAGGTTATATCAAACAAAAATACATGATTCAGTTGCAGGATGGGAGGATGCGTGAGTTCAGTTTTCAGTAACTCTACTTCATTTGCAGAAAAATTTCTTTAACAAACATAAGGCTACCCATTATTGTATTATATCGAATGATGATCTTGGATTTGATGTTGTAAAATTCTATGTCAACTATTGTGAAAATAGAACATTTGTAATTAAATTAATTATGTAGGTTTTTCTAAAAGATGTTAAATTAGCACTTAGTTGTACGTGTTGCCTAAACGTCATGTGGCTTGTTATCAATGTTTGGCTCTGATGTGATGTAAAATCTGCTTCTGAGATGGCATTACTGGAGGTCTAAGCTGTAAGTTGAATGTGTTGATGATAATTACACTGAGTTCTTGTTTCAAATACTTTTGAATTGAGATTCAGAGCTAGAAATTAGTTGCGCATCCACTTTTTCTTATCCATTCAGGAAATTACATATACAAATTTGCTGGATTTCAAAAAGGAGAGAGACAAAAAATAATTATATTCACTGTAACACAGTCGAATTACAAGCCATATATACATGCTAACAGTAATTACATACAATGCGGGCGCGGTGATGATTTCCCGTAATTTTCCTCAGTCATATTCGGCTTATTCAGTAATGATTTTCTCATACAGCAAATATCACTGATTTTATACACATGCAGACCAATACACATAATCATCCAGATGCGATCTTGTTATTCAATAACTATCTTCACAGAGATAAAAACTACAGACCCGGATCACTCAGCCTTAAAAAACTATGCAACCAATAATGCGTGTAGTTTAGTTAAGTGATTCCTCCATAGGTGGGCGTTCACCACGATCCTAGTGAGCTAACGTGAAAGGATTGTTTGCGCCCTAAAAACTACCTAGTCTGCAAGTTGACATTTTATAGGTCTTTTTTTACGTTTTTATAGGTTTTTTTACATTATACTTTTACGGGAATAGTCGAAGATGGATGTGACATCATCCAAATGTCAAAAAATCAGGTGGTAGCATTAAACGCCTAACGTATCTGAGGTACTAGCGGGTGACAGGTCTTCTGTCAATGTCATTTTAAAAAACGGACATCTCAATTGAAAATTTGTCTTCGCAGTGGCGAATATTGAGTTAAATTATTAAATCATAAATCAATAAAATGGAGGAACAGGTCCAACTGATTTTAAATGACGAGGGAGAAGACTATGAGGTCATCGCAGATATAGGAACCGCACGTGTCACATCAAGCGGTTGATTTTATTCTTTCTTTTTGTTTCATATTCAAAGGGGGCAGCTAAGCTTATCAAGGGGCTTAGGGCCATATCGTCAATCGTTCCTACAATTCATTGTACGATGCCTTCATGGCCTCCTTGATTTTCATAGTCTTCTACTTTTCCACATCAGCGCTCTATTTTTGAGGTTATGTCACAAATATCTATTTGCATCAAATTGTTCATGCTTTTGATTTATATCATGTCTTATCAGCCTGAAATTTCATACAATTCAAAAAGAAAACATAACTGCACAATATTAGGGTGAAGACGCTGACATGGAACAAGTGCAATCTAGAAACTTTTGAAGGAGAGAAAATACTACGACAATAAAGGAGGCCATAAAGGCATCCTACAACTGTAGGAACGACTGACGATACGGCACTTAAAGCAAAAATATTGCGCAACATGCGCCATCTAACGACTTCCGGTATAACTTGAAACTATCAAAAGTTCGAGAGGAGTGGGAAATTCCGTTTGTCCCCTTTCCATTTACTACGGGATCTCGCGAAAAAGTCTTTAATATAAAAAAACCGACACAGTGTCGCTTTTTAAGATACGCAATACCCCTGCCGGTGAGAGTCACAAAAACAGTGACACTTTTTGAGTTCTGTCTTTCAGAATCTATTGACCTGTTACATTTGGCAGAAGAATACACGGCCACTAGAAATGCACGATACAGTGTGTATCACTTGAAAACAACAAATCTAGTTTTCTAGAAATCTCGTCTGGAGTACCCCAGGGGTCTGTTGTGGGTCCCTTGTTGTTTTTGATATATTTTGCTGATCTGCCCAAGGCTGTGAGTTTTTGTGAACTCCAGTCTTTTGCGGATGATACTCAACTGGGCCATTATTTTGATACTGATGATATGGAAATGGCACAGACATCAATAAACAACGATATTCAAAAAGTGTATGACTTCTCGAATAACCACAACCTGTCAATAAATCCTGGTAAATCTAGCCTGTTATTTTTTTGTTCGGATCGTAGGAGAGAAGAAATTAAAATTGGATCTCAAAGACTGTACCCAGTTGACGAGGTTAAAATTCTTGGCGTGGTAATTGATTTCAAACTTAGATTCACCAGTCACTTTAAAAATCTTTTGAAGAAAACCTACTTCAGACTGAGATCACTATATGCCAATGAAGCAATTTTCAATTATAAGCTAAGGAAAAAACTGTGTTCATCTTTGGTTACGCCGATTTTCAACTACTGTGATATTTTATATTATCCGTGTCTCAATGTTGTTACTAGAAATCGGATTCAAATTGTGCAAAACAATTGTGCTAGGTTCATCTGCGGTTTAAGGCGCTTTGACCATGTTTCTGGTAGTCTTATTGAATTAAACTGGATGATAACAAAAAATATTGTCAAATATCATTTCCTTGTTTTTATTCATAAACTAATACTTATGTCAAAACCTATATACTTAAGAGAAAAGCTGATCTTTAGGCGTAATATTCATCATAGACATATTAGATTTCCGGATTTGATAACTACACCTATTCACTCCACAACTATATTCCAGCATTCTTTCACGTACAGGGCTTCAGTGATATACAATGCCTTGAGTCCTGAATTCAAAACCATGTCCTTGAATTGCTTCAAGAAAGCTGTCAAATTTCATATTTGCTTGGATCCATAGTCTTAATTAGATTGCTATAGATATATTGTTAAATGATTCTTCACTTCCCTTGTGTACATGTAGCAAACCTTGGTGCAACATGTACGTATGTAATGTGTGTATATGTATGTATGTATGTACATATGTATGTACATATGTATGTATATATGTATGTACATGTGTATGTATATATGTATATTTTGTTTGATATCTGCTACTTAACAACTTGTTTTTTTTGCATGGGTGGTTAAGTGTAAGAGTAGCATGTTGCTAAACTTCGCCACCATATGCAACTCTTGTTTCTCTGTATGAAATTGTACAGTTTAAATAAAGACGATTATTATTATTATACTTATTTGGCAGGTCTTTGACGTTGGTAGCATGTCGCCAATACTGTTTGCCGCTAGGGTTCAAATCTCCTCTTCGTACATTGGTAACAAAATTAGCCCATGGTAGAGTGTCCGCCGCCCATGAGACCCATCGAAATTTATTGGCTGGTGTCTTTGCGTTCGCCGCCGCCATACACGACTTTAACGGATCCGACTCGGATACACGTATTTCGTTCGGTCGCTATTTTTTCTTCATTTTTTCGCTTAACGTTTCATTGACTCCGCGCCCGCGCCAGAACCAGACTGCGTTTCGTCCTTCGTATCTGTACCACGCAGTAATGTACTACATGAGCAATCATTAAAGTTTTGATTTGAAACTAGTTGAGGAGCCATTTAGCTAAATAGTCCTTTAGTCCTAATAGGCCCTTCCCATTTCAGTTGGCCCACTTCAAGATGTGTACCAAAATATGCCTTTATAAACGAAACATGACGAAACTATTTACTTCTAAAACAATTTATTTTCTCAAAAACATTTTAGATACACTTTAGTCGTAAAAAATACATATTTGAAAATCACTTAGACCTATAACTAATAGATCATCTGAACAAATAAACAATGTGCGAATAAATGCGCGAAGTTAACAAAGCAACAATTGAAAGATTACCATTGGGTAACATCGCCTTTATTTTTTATTACGGCAGAAATTCTTTGGGGCATAGTGTTAACCAAGTTTTGGCAAAAATTTGGTGTAAAACAATCCCATATTTCTTGAAGCTTTTATCTCAGTTCGGTGATTGTACGAGCAAGATGATTTCGTAGAACCTTTTTCATCTCGTGCCACAAAGTTTCAATAGGTGACAGATCTGGACTGCTAGAAACCCATTTCAAAAGTGGTACATTATTTTCTTCCATCCATTTTATAGCCTTTTTGGTATGGCACGCTGCACCATCTTGCTGAAACACAAAATCTTGGCCGGATGTCAGACATTCTTCCATCACTGGTAAAAGCGATTCTTCTAAAATTGCCAAATATTTGTTTGTATCCACATTTCCATCAATGAAATGAAGTTTTCCTACTCCTTTTGATGCCATACTGCCGCAGACCATAATGGATGCTGGAAATTTCACTTTTCTCTTCAGACAGTTAACATGGAATGCTTCACTTTAACTACTGCGACTGTCACCAACACAAACTTCGAATCGGGCCTCATCACTCCATTGTATTGCACACCATTGTTGAGGTGTCCATTGTCTATGTTCTTTAGCCCATCTAAGCCGATTTTTCTTTTGCAGTCGAGTTAATAGTGGCTTTTCTTAGGCCTATAAACAAGTTGTGCAACTTTAGGGTTTTTCTTCACTTTTTTTTATAACAAAAATTACCTTGCAAGTGCTAAATCCCAGTTTATGGGCCTCTCTATGAGTTGTGGACCTCGAAATTTTCCTGCCAACAGCGTCACTCCACAGAGCACTTAAATGTAAATAATTGGCACGCCTGTTTTTCACGATTATTTTTCCTAATGCTTATCGGTCGGTATTTGTGATATTACTTTTTTTCACATATCGTGGCTTAATATTAACTGAACCGGTTACGTTATATCTTTTAACAATATTTCTCACACTGTACCGCGACATGTTTAACAAAGTTGCAATTTCCGAGTTTGATTTCCCAGAATTAAAAAATTTAATTATCAGTAACCGAATTTTGTCACTAATAACCTTTCCTCTACCCATTTAGAAAACCTTAACTACCCAAAACTATTTTAAACGTATTCTGACAGATGTGATTAATAAAAATAATTGTCATGGCTTTTATTTTTCACAGCCACCTATGCGTTATAGACTTGTTTTGCATTGAAATGAAAATAGGTTATTATGCTGTAATTGCAACATGTGTTATTTTTATGCTGCAAATTTGATTAGGGAGTGAAAGTTGGTTTTTTCTCCTATATATTATCAAAATATTCATTGTAAATATTTTAAACCTGTAACACCCTGCTACATTTTTATTATTTGTGTTTGATAAGAAAAAACTAAGATTGCAATAGTTGGGCCAACTGAAGTGGGAAGCGGCTCGTAGTATCTGCCAAGGAGAGCTATCACAAAATTCATGTTAATAGAAAGATAGTAGGAAGACTGCCCAGTTATCCCATCAATGAGAGCGTCAAGTTAGCGTGGTCTATAAGGACTCTGAATAGTCTAATCGTATTAAACGAAAATACCCCTGGTTTGCAAAATCATTGAAAATTCTAGTTTTATTGCTGCAAGTCGTTCAAAACATGGACGCATAAAATGTGTACACCAAATTTTGTGGGAAAACTTTTTATTCGACAACAAAGAATGAGAAAGCATGCTTTTTGGGATTCATTCGAAAGTGTTGGCAGGAACGCAAAAATACTTCATATAAGATTTTTAGGTATTTATGAGACCTACAGAATGAGACCACACGTAAAAACATCCGACTAATAGCAAAATAGTTATGGTCTAAAACCGAGGCAAACTGCAGGTTTTGGCGTTTGTTGGTAATGCGACGATGGTATCTCGCAGATATTTGAAATTCTTCAAATTCGTAGGATTCGGACTCCTAAATAACCACAACAAAATTGGTCAAGTAGTTTTTGAAAATTTCTAATTGTTTATCCCAAAACACCTGTTTTCCGGCCATCATTACTAGTTTATGGAGCAATATACAGGGTTAGTTCAAATGGTATTTTATAGCAAAATACACTAGTTTACCTTGCTGAATCGCAAACCATTCCGGAAGATAAATTATATTTTTATGCAAAAAAGTATGGGTTACGTTTTTTATTCTAAACAATTTCAAACATTTCATAATTATCAGTAATTCGCAACAAAAGATGATAGACACATCCGCTCTGTTTTAAAATGTGTATTGTAACGTATGTTTTTGAATATCGTACCGCATTTGTTCAATTACAAATACGAAATGTTTAACAATTTGTTTAGAAGGAAAAACGTAACCTTTGTTTTCCGCATAAAAATAACATTGAAATTATCGTCGCATTACCAAGTGCCAAAACCTGCATTTGGCCTCCTTTTTCGGCCATAACATTTTTGCTATTTGTCGGATCTTTTTACGTGTGGTCTCATTTTGTATGTCAGAAATACCTAAAAATGTTATATGAGAAGTTTTTTCGTTTCTGTCAACAAATTCGATTGATTCCCAAAAAACACGTTTTCCCACAAAAATTATATATTCATTTTATTCGTCCATGCTTTAGGCCCGTATCGTCAGTCGTCCCTACAATTGTAGGGTGCGTTTATGGCCTCCTTGATTGTCATACTCTTTTCTCTCCTTCAAAAATTTCTAGATTACACTCGTCCCGTGTAAGCGTCAGCGCTCTCCTATTGTTAAGATATGTTTTCCTTTTAAATTGTAGGAAATTTCAGGCTGATAAAACATGATATAACTCAAAAGCAAACACAATTTGATGCAAATAGATGTTTGTGACATAACCTCAAAATAGAGCTCTGACCCGGAGAAGTAGAAAACTATGACAGTCAAGGAGGCCATAAACGCGCCCTACAATTGTAGGGACGACTGACGATACGGGCCTTAAATACTCCCTTCAACAACTTGCACCAATAACATCAGACTTTACAATTATTTCCGGGAAATTTGCTAATTAATATGATTAGACTATAAGGCCGGCACGGGTCTTGCGTATCTTAATAAGTGACATGTCATCGGTTCTTTGACGTTTCGTAGGTTTTTTGTGACATAACGTAGGTTTTTCTACTTAGCACAAGCTTGTACACTTGTTCTGAACTCGTTTTGTACCTCTACGTGTTGCTTAGGCCCGTATCGTCAGTCGTCCCTACAATTGTAGGGCGCCTTTATGGCCTCCTTGATTGTCATAGTTTTCTACTTCTCCGTGTCAGCGCTCTATTTTGAGGTTATGTCACAAACATCAATTTGCATCAAATTGTGCTTGGTTTTGAGGTATATCATGTTTTATCAGCCTGAAATTTCCTACAATTTAAAAGGAAAACAAATCTTCACAATAGGAGAGCGCTGGCGCTGACACGGAACAAGTGTAATCTAGAAATTTTTGAAGGAGAGAAAGGAGTATGACAATCAAGGAGGCCATAAACGCGCCCTACAATTGTAGGGTCGACTGACGATACGGGCCTTAAACGTCAGCGAACAGCGATCATAGCAAGCGAACGTGGAATGAACTATTTGCACACTAAAAACTACCTAGTCTGCAAGATGACATTTCGTGGTTTTTTGTTTTAGGTTATTTACATAACACCCCTGCCGATCTCACTATTGACCAGCGGGAATCAAAATTTGAGCTTAGGGCGTAAATTCGACCATTCAGAAGACATTTATGAAGTCTTGTTTCTAATGAATATGATCGATTTCTTCTAAAATATCTAGATACATTGTATGATTTGCCAACCTCTAATTCTCATATTAAATCACAAAATTCTCCATATGTCACCATGTTTAGCTATACAAACCCATTTTTATCATTTGACCCGGAACCCGGGCGCAGAATTTGCGGCGGCATAAATAAAATTACAAAATGCTTATTATTTGACAGACATCTACTAAAAATTCCATTCACTCGACTAACGTGCGAACAACCCTGCTTTTTTCATCTACTTTTATGCTTAACACGTGTTCACGGCTAATTTTCCTGGTTTATCGCAACAGGAAGCTAATGGTAGCGCTGGCGCCCTCTACTGGACGGTGACCGGGTGGGGTTAGAGGTGACAGTCGTTTCAATAAAATGCTCAGTAATTGCTGCCATATCAATCTAGATGTGACAAAAAAGGTAAAAAAATACGTATGTTTATTACAACAAGTGATAAAATGGTCAGGTTTTTCTGTTGGTGGATGCGTGTATTGTTTGGTGATCAAGAAGCATTCAGTTTTCGCACATTTACAGTGTCAGTTAAATGTTGAATTTCGTGGAGCTTATTGAGAAGCCTTCTGTGATTGCTCAAAATGCCTAGAGTGCGTAGGCTCTTGAATTTGCAACACCCTCCACATACTTCAGCAGCTTTACTCACAAAGTGGCAGTATCCTGGAGTGAGATACCTCAACAGGATATCGACCATCTCATCAGCACGACGTCCAGGCGTGTCAATGGGTGTATATGAAATCGTGGATCCTCAACACATTAATGAACCAGCTTCTGCAGTCAGTTGACGAGTCAAGCTGAAAATTTAATTATTTTACTAGTAACGGACACTGAACATATATATCCCAAAACACTGATCAACAGCCAAAAAATATCCTAAATAAAATCAACAAAATATTACTATTTTTAATGTGCTAAAACCGGAATGAAACATATTTTTTCAATATTAGTTCAAGTTTTAGAGATACGGTAATTATATGTGTTCCTGCTGTGACAGTGTTAATATACTGTAATTCACAAGAATGCACGTGCTACATTTTTATATTCGGCAATGAAAGATGATGTAATCGGCATGATTGTGTTACGTTATACATACGTGTACATTATATTGTTTTATATTAGCCATTTTTTCCTCAGTTGGCTGACAGCGTTTATGCAAGATGTCTCGAAAGTGTGTAAACAATCCTGATCAGTTTTGTTACGTGTGTGGTGATGTGACTTTTGCGTCTCAGAGACGGTCTATTACTCCACTAATAACAAAGGCATATCAGCTTTATTTCGGTTGTAAACTAGGTGATCAAGACAAACAGTGGGCACCCCACATCTGCTGTAATACATGTGCTTCAAGTCTGAGGAGCTGGTTAAATGGCAAAAAACGGTCTATGCGCTTTGCTTTCCCAATGGTTTGGAGAGAGCCTACAAATCATATTAATGATTGTTACTTTTGCATGGTACCTTGTGTTGGACAAGCTATAGGTATGTCCAAGAAAAAAAATCGGTTATTAACTACCCAAACATACCATCTGCGATGAGACCTGTGCCTCACAGTGACGAAAATCCTATTCCAAAACCCCCAGAATCCTACACTTGCGAATCAGAAAACGAATCAGATCATGGCGATCGAGTGATTCGTCAGGCAGAAGATATGCCATCAACGTCAAGAGGTCCTGATTTTATAGCGAGCACGTCATGCCACCAACC